ACTGAAGCAAGCAAGCCTCATGTTAGTTTCAAGCTGCCTGGCTGCCGGCCGCCATCTTGGCTGGCAGTTCATTTGCATATTGCCCTGATTAGCTAATGGGAAGGGTAGGGGTCGTATGCTAATTACCATGTTTCTCTTTTATTAGATAGGATATTTAAATGCCATTTAACAAAGAAAAATCAACCAAAATGGTGTCATAGGTTCGCCATCATTGTTCTAGTACTAACCCTACCACAAAAGGCTAATTCAAAGGCACTGAAGCAAGAATGTACCTGTTCTATTAAAAAAGAAAGAGGAGGCTGATTTGGCTGAAGAAAAATGAGCAGAACAGAAGAGTAGTAGGAAATGAGCTCAGAGATAAGCAGTGGGGGCAGGATAGTGGCAGGCAAATCCTACAGGGCATTGTAAGCCATTGAAAGGATGTTTAAGTCTTTTTGCTCTGATGAAGTGGAGAACCGTTTGTATTATTTATAACTAGAGGCCCTGTGCATGAAATTCATGCACTGGGGAAGGGGGGGTTGTCTCCTCAGCCCAGATTGCGCCTTCTTGCAGTCCAGGAGCTCTCAGGGGATGTCTGCCTCTGATTTAGGCCCACTCCCTATGCTAGCAGGTGGACATCCCCATCCCTCTCGCAGTCCTGGACCCCTCACTCTTCACCACCCGCCTGCTCGCTTCCCCTTACCGCTCAGCTTGCTGCTCCTTAGCGCTGCTGTGGAGGCAGGAGAGGCTCCTGCCACCACTGCTGTGCTTGGCAGCCATGAGCCCGGCTTCTGGCTGAATGGGGTTCCCCCTGTGGGAGCACAGTGACTACCAGGGGACAGCTCCTGAGTTGAGCATCTTCACCCCACCCGTGCCCCCCGTGGTCGGTGCACATCGTAATGACCAGTCGTTCTGGTCATTCTGCCGTAAGGGTCACTTAGGCTTTTATTATATAGATAGCAAAAAAAAAAAAAAAAGTGACCCAATAGAATGAATGGACGAAATGCGGCATATATCTATAATAATAAAAGGGTAATATGCTAATTAGACTGGACGTCCTTTCTGACGTTCTTCTTTCTGGACAAAGCTGCAGCAGGTGGGGGCTGTGGCAGAGGCGGCAGAGGCCCCTGGACATGGTGGTGGCAGCAGGCGGGGCCAGGGCCTAGGCCCTTGCACGAATTTTGTGCATCAGGTCTCTAGTATATATATATAATATACAGTAAAATATTATTTAGCCTTAAAAAGGAGTTAAATTCTGAAACATGCTACAACTTGGATGAACTCTAAAGACATTATGAAGTGAAATAAACCAATCACAAAAGGATCAATATTGTATTATTCTGCTTATATGAAGTACCTAGAGTAGTTTGATTCATTGATGCAGAAAGTAGAACAAAGGTTACCAGGAAATGAGGAGAGGAGGAAAATGAGGAGCTAATGTTTAACGGGTACACAGTTTCTGTCTGTTATGATGAAAAAGTTCTGCAGATAGTGGTGATGATTGCATAACACTAAATGTAGTAGAGCCACTGAACTGTATTCTAAAAAATGGTAAAAACAGTTAAGTTTTATGTTATGTATATTTTACCACAATAAAAATAAAGAAAGAATGAGCTTCTTAAAAAAGGCTGAGAACTACTGGTCTACCACATAGTTGACCACATCTTATGCAATCAATGTTAAAGAATAAACTATTCTGAAAGACTTTTCCAGAGGAATGAACTGAGAAATTATTTTTAAGTATCATTTTGATGAACTTCTTTATGTGCACTTATCTACTTCCTTTTCCTATAAAATGGAATATGATGACTATTCCTAACAGTACA